CGCCCCTGGTTTAGTACTTCTTCAAAGTGTATGGTCATCCCTTGCCTGCAGCTGTAAAGTAGATGTAAACTCTTTCTGAATGTCTTTCAGTTTGTTAAAGCACTGTGTATCATAAACAATTACCATTAACCAACATCGTTTTCCCCTTTTTCCTTATTTGTTATGTGTCATTGCTGCTGAAGCCTTTAAAGGAGAACTATGATGTGAGTGCTTTTCACTCATCCTCATAGTTCTAGCCGACCTGTGACAATGAGACTGTCACAGGTCGGCTCAGTAGATCGAGAAGTGAGCGAACACATACCGGCATTCGCTCACCCCTCCATCCTGTCACGGCTCTCTGCCCTGACAGGCGGAGGGGCTGTATTCCACTCTCCCCGCTCCGATCTGCCAGTGCTGACTGGAGGAACGGACGGGGGAGGGGGCGGGTACAGCTGGCTCTGCCTCTAGATAGGCAGAACCAGCTGTCACTCACGCAGCTCGGCGGATCCAGACATAATTGTCGGGATCCGCTTCAGCTGCGGCGTCTAAGTATACCGCGAGCTATAGCTCGCGGTATACTGAGCTTAGGGTGACGGGAGGACGCTAGTTTGTGTCCTCCCGTTACCCTAAGGAGAACTATGTGGAAAAGCCCTAACCCCATAGTTCTCCTTTTAAACCTCTTTGTGACCACTATGAATGTGCTCCATTGATGGCACACAGTTGCATCGAGGGCCACCACTGCATTCAGCAGCGTACAAAACAAATAGGACTCCGCTGCCTCCGAGGCCATACATTTACACTTGACACATGTCACCTTAGTGTAAAGTTTACAAGCGCACAGTCTATTAGATATCAGCAAGAATGTGTAGCCCACATTGATGTTTACATGTTGGCCCTGAGAATGACTCATTCATGCACCAGCAGACCCTGGCTTTCAGGTATTCTGTGCATGTGCCGCCAGCGCATGAATGAATCATTCACAGGGCTGACTTGTAAACATCAATAGTGTGTAATCGGCAGCGCTGCCACCACTGATTACACATAGTTGATATTGACATGTCAGCCGGTGGCATCCAATAGACTGAATTAACACAAAACACAAACATTACATGCGCACAGCTTACAGACCCCCTAATGGGCAGCAAGATCCTGCGGTATTTAAATACGCTTTGTCTGAATGAGTCCTTATGTATTACTGCTGATATAAGATTTAAAGTCCGGTTTGCTCCTACACTTTTTAGGGCTGGCTAGTTCACCCCAGCCACAGTGCGTTCTGCCCAGAACGCACTGGATCGCATTGCGGCCGGCTCACTTTGTTGTGCGGCAGGAGGGGGCGGTACTATGACATGAACGGCACCGCAGCCACGCCATCCAGTTGCAAAGCGATCAGCCACATGGGAACATGTGGCACATCAATGCCTGCGTTCCGGTTTGGTCAGGAAAAATAGTGCTTGCAGCATTTTTTCTGACCGGACCGGACTGCATTGATGTGCCTTGTGTTCCCGTGCAGCCAATCACATTGCGGCCGAAGGGAGTGGCTATGGTGCCATTGAGTTCAATGCACCGCCACACCCCCTCCTGCCCCACAACAAAGTGAGCCAGCCGCAATGCGGTCCAGTGCATTTCGGGGAGAATCGGGACGGAACGCACTGTGGCTGGTCTGAACTAGCACTTAGTGAGGACCTGTTCACACCTAAACGTTACACTAAGTGCATATTACCAATGTGTTTTTTGCATACTCTTGTACAGCGCACCTATTGTGCGGTATCGTACGCTAGGTGGGTTGCATTGCCTTTCATTTGAATGGCACCCCATTGCACCTCCCAGCGTTGAGATGTGGTGAGAAAAAGTAGCATATGTACTACTTTGTCCAAATACATTGTATGGTATTTTGGTACTGCGCTGCAATGCACGGCTGCCGGGAAGTTTGTTGGGGTTCCATTCAAATTAATTGCAACACACCTAGTGCATGATATTACACATTTGGTGCACTGTGGATTAGCGCATGATTGGGGTTACATGTACTTTAAACATCACAGACCTGAACATTTTTATTTTCTAAGTTATTTATTGCAGGAATGTTATTTCTTCTTATCACCAGAGTGGTCTTAGAGGCTTCGCTCCACATCCTGCATTGTGACTGTGTTCCTTTGGCTATTTTCTGAGTACTTATGTAATATGTTTTCCAGTAAAGTGCTGTACAAATAACTTCAGAAATGTTTTTGTGCCTGACACTGACATCTGACATTTTCCAGCAAGGTCATTATTACCTACAATTCAGTATGCCAAAAGTTTTTTTGTCGATGTTTTTTCTTTTTTTATATAGAGAACACATGTACTTGCATATTTTTTTTTGCAGAGAGGTTTGTTTTCAGAGGGAATTTGTAAAGCATTGTAGAATGCTATTCCAGGAACAACAGACAAACATGTTACAGAACAGTCAGATGCTTAAGGGCAGATTCACACCATTTTCCGGACCAGATCACAATGCACAGTAGTATGTTACCATGTGTTGTGGTAGGCTGCAATGCAGGTGTATTGGATTTTGTCTGCTCCAGTTTTGATGAATTCCCCCCACACGGTACATGCAGTAATGTGCATTACCATAACACATGGGTAAAGCCAGTTTTAAAGTATTCACAGATGAGATGGTCGTCTCACAATCCTGCTAATTATTACAAGTAATCTGTGAATTGTATGTGACATCTGCAGACTATGCCTGACCAATTTATTTCAGAAAAAGAATCAATTATCTGCAATGGATTTTTCTGGATGATAATTGTTCAGATAAGATCATGTTAGTGCTGGCAATGTCTGCCCAGTGCATAAGCATGTGCACTCATCCGAAGCAAATGTGGATGTTTTGCCATGAAGAAAGGGTTATAGCTGAACTGCTAAATACACAAATAAAATACTTATAATGCAGCACCAGATAGATCGTCCTTTACATTGCATTTGAATAGGAGACTTAATACACTACAACAGACCAAAAATCAGACCTGCAGCAGGGCCCATTTAATATTAGGCATTACTGGACGATACATGGCTCTGCTATGCAGGTGTGTTGGGGTGCCATGAAGGCCTCATTCACACGAAAAAAGGCCGGCACGTACAGCTCCGTGCTCCGTGCATGGCCGTATCGGGCAGCTCCCGGTAAGAACAGGGGCTACGTGTGATTAGTATGCAGCCTCACCCGTACAGACCTGCACTTGAGGCCAGCGTAGGGCGGTGTACGGCCGCGTATTCCCATAGAGAAGGACAGGGGCTGCATACTAAGCACACGCAGCCCCTGTCCTTACCGGGAGCTGCCCGATACGGCCATGCACGGAGCACGGAGCTGTACGTGCCGGCCTTTTCTCGTGTGAATGAGGCCTTACAGTGGGTGGCTGACTAGCAGGAGTTACTATTTAGCCAACAATTTTTATCCCATTTCCCTTAACAAAAGTCGAGTGAAAAATCACCTGTTGCCAGAGTGGTGCCGACAGGACTACCCACAGTTTGAAAGACTAGGACATTTTATAGAATTAAGCAATCTGCCTGTGAGTGAGTAGGACCTGAATTTTATTTGCCGTTAGCTTCTAGATATGTTTGATAGTCCTGTCAGATACAACTTTTAAATTAACCTAGGCAAAAGTCACCGGGAGTCTGTTTAAACAGCCCCGATGCTGGCGACGTACACTGTACGTCGTCAGTCACGAAGGGGTTAACACTTGTGGATTTGTTTATTAAATCATGCGATAAGTGCAATAACCCATAGTAGCAAATATCTAATCCCTACACAGGAGCTATAAAGCCGATTAAGTTGTTATTCCAGCCAAACTCTCAAAGCAACACAGCTTCAACACGACATTGACCAGTCAAACCAGAGGGAACATTGAGGGCCCACCCTCGGTCCGAAACACAGAATAAAAATCAACCGCACGCTGATGACATCGCTTGCATTAAAATAAGCTTCACTGACGCGCCACACGGCTCTGCCTATAGTCAGCCCATATGTGACGCGTTTCATCCTGACAGACTTCAGTGTGCTGATTTTTATTGCAATAAAACGATTAGTTGCACATTGTCCTTAGTATTAGTAAAGGGAATTCTTACTCTTTTGTGAAACTTTCAAAGTAGAAGTATTGACTAAGAGCAGACTCCACAAAATGCCTGCTTTAACCTTGATTTATCACTACAGCCCCCTCTCTCTTTTTGTTTCCTCTTGTTACTGGGACCTGACCTCGCTGGCTTCATGACTAAACTCCAACAAGGGCTCCATTCATAAAGCAGTGGTATGGCACTGAATTGACAATGCTTTATAAGGTACAGCGATATCCTTTTACAAATGTGCATCACAGGACTCTCGGGACTCCAAAGGTCAGAGTTAGGTGAAGGAAATCCTAATCTTATGACCCGTCAGTGATGTGACCAGCCTCTGCTCCAATCAAGGAATTCTCTCTGCATCATTAGGCAGAGACAACTCAGTAGTACATTGGATGCTACACATAGATTGTAAGGGGCAGGGCCCTCCTTACCATCTTGAATTGTATTGTAACTGTACTGTCTCCCCCATTATGTAAAGCGTTGTGCAAACTGTTGTCGCTATATAAATCCCGTATTATAATAATAATAATAATGAACTGCAATTTATAAATAGGGCAAAAAAAATGCAGGCCTCAGTGTGGATTAATGCTGCGTTGTCCAACAGAGATTGGCTAGCGATATCCAGTCTCCATTTTAAATTGGCCCCCAAGTGTCTTCCTCTTGACTAATGAGGGTGCCATTGAGCAGTAGGGTGAGGCTTGCTAGGTGTTGAAGTCAGGGAAAATCAGGCTCCAGTAGCAAAGTTGATCTAAATTGGGGTGGAATAAAAATGAAGTACAAGTTAACTTTATGTAAACCAGTCTGAGCTGACATAAGAAAATACCTAATACAATCGAACTTTTATTGCTACTCTAGAATGGGCAGGTAGACTGGTAAGCGACAGTATTTGTATCCCTTTTAATTCATGAATTAAGGTTTGTGTTTCTCTGTTGCAGGTCTGAAGCTGACTGTCATTGAGATGTAAAGATGTCAGCCCTTTGTCCTCCACCCTCTCCAGCAGTGGCCAAGACTTTGATCAGTATAGATGGCTATTCTCCTCTGCTGGCTGCCACATTTGCTTACTGGGATAACATCCTAGGCCCGAGAGTGCGGCACATCTGGGCCCCGAAGAGTGATGAGGAGGTGCTCAGCGATGGAGAAATTACATTCCTGGCAAATCACACTCTAAACGGCGAGATCCTGAGGAATGCTGAGAGCGGGGCTATTGATGTCAAGTTTTTTGTGCTTTCGGAGAAGGGAGTGATCATCGTTTCGCTGATCTTTGATGGGAACTGGAATGGCGATCGGAGCACATATGGCCTCTCTGTAATACTGCCGCAGACAGAACTGAGCTTCTACTTGCCTCTGCACAGAGTCTGTGTGGCTCGCCTCACACACATCATCCGAAAAGGGAGGATATGGATGCACAAGGTATGGGAATTTTTACCCTTGCACACTTGTACTTTAACCACTTGCCATCCGCCCGTTGTAAAAAAACGGACGGACGGCACTGCAGCATTAGTTATCCCCCTATATAATAGCAATATCAATAAGTGCAAAAAATATATATATATAAATTACAAAAATAAAAGTAACATATAAAAAAGTTAAATAAAATAAAGTCACATATAAAAAAAGTAAAAAAAAAAAACACCAAAATGTTTAACTCCCCCACCCCCACGTTTGCGCAGATATAAACGTAAATACGCGTCCCCTGCACCAGCGCGCGGAAACGACAATTGCGCTACACACGTTACATATTGCCGGGAACGTCGCCGTGAGAGCAATCATTTTAGGGCCATCAATCACTGATAACACTAAACTGATGAGCGGTAAAAGCTTTTAAAGCGTCGCCTATGGCCAATTTTGGGTATTAACGTTTTTTTGAGGTTTCGCGCACGCAATTTTAAGGCTTGACATGTTTGGTGTCTTTTTACCCGACGTGACCCCGTCTTTTATATTTTACCAAAAAATTGGGTAATAATAAATGTTTTATCATTTAATATAGGGGAAACTGTTTTGTTTTTTGTTTTTATTTCGGTACTTTTTCCTTAATATAGTAAAAAATAAAAACTCCAGTGGTGAATAAATACCACCAAAAGAAAGCTATATCTGTCCCCAAAAAAGGGTATAAAATTCATTTCAGTACAGCGCTGCATGACGGAATAAATGTCAGTCAAAGTACCGCAGCGCTGAATACTGAAAAATGGCCTGGCCAGGAAGGGGGTTTAACACCCCGGATGTCAACTGGTTAAAGGACCACACTGCTAATGACAGTCACAATATGTTTGTTAAAGTACACAACTATAGCTACCCTGTTTCCCCGAAAATAAGACCTAGTACTATTTTTGCAAATTGCTAAAATATAAGGCCTACCCCGAAAATAAGACCTAGTTGTGACCATTCCCTGGGCCGGTGGTGGCATAAGGTGGAACTTGAAGAGCCGCGGCAGAGGTAGGAGAGAATCAGCGGTGCCAACAAAGCCAGCACTAGAGGAAGTGAGGCGGCAGCCTCCTCTATAGCACCAGCTCCTGTCACAGGCGGAGTGATACCAAATGCACCCCGCCGGTGAGGAATCGATAGTGAAAGCGTGCTTCACCCATTCTGGTTACCAAATTGCTCTTGGATAGGTACGGCACCCCCGATTGCCCTGATCACCCTATTCTTAATTTTGCAATTTTTTATTATTTTATTTGGAGCCAAAAAAAAATATAAGACGGTGTCTTATTTTCGGGGAAACACGGTACATATTTAGTCTATAGAAGGGTTTTAGGAGAGAATTCTGGAAGCTGGGCACAGCGTAATGGCCCAGTCATATGAGATTTGTCATCCATAGCTTTCCTAGGAGGCAGTGGTGAGTGACGGAACCTAGGTGAACAATCCTAATGGAATGCTTTACTTTCTTTACACATGGAGATTTTAGACTAAGGGCTACTATTAAGTTTTTTTTACTCTTTCATGCTCTATAAATGAAATAAAAAAGGTTTTGGCTGGTCTTGGGCCTTAGTCATTCACACGGTTCTTCAAACCCGGCAGGGGACAGTTACACATCCTGTTTTTGCTGGTAATGATATATTGTAGCACAGTCACAGGTAAGAGACGAGAGAGTCTGCAGCAAATCATTGAAGTTCGTGGGGACAAGTGAGGCACATGGATAGCAGTGATGAAATGCTCTGGATTCAAATTTCTGTTCATTCTGAGTTCATGTCTTTCTCAGGGCAGCAAAATCTCCATAAAAATGGCTTCCTCCTTCTGCCAGGCTCAGTGTATCATTTTCAGTCTTGGCTATGCAACACAACCTAAAAGGATGTATTTGGCATGTTGTCCCCCTTTAAAAAGTGACATTTGCCATTATTCATCAACATTATTGGTAAATATTTCCCCGCAATACACCATCTTAATTGTAGACATATTCATGTCCATTGGGTTCCTGAAAATATTGCATATATACTGGAATGTTATTACAAAATCTTTCACATTAATTGACTTATTGTTTATATTTAATGTCCCTTTAAAAATATTGTTGTCAGCAGAGGAGCTTTCAGGCCTCTACAAACAAATCACAACACGACATGCATGGTAAATTCTGGAAAGGTTACAGGAAGCAATTATAATATATCGATATTTGGTATAATACAATGCTTGTGCTGTCTCGGCTTTTGAAATATAAAATGAAATTATTGATTTAATTCAGCTTGCAGAGAAATAATGCTGGCCGTGTAAGCAAAGAATTCATAGAATTGTCCTACCATAGGGTCCATTCACTAAGCTGCATGTGTTTTTTCCTGCCATAGGGTGCAGTCACTAAGCTGCAGGAGACCTTCTTGCCACAGGGTGCATTCACTAAGCTGCAGGAGATTTTCTTGCCACAGGGTCCATTCACTAAGCTGCAGGAGATTTTCTTGCCACAGGGTCCATTCACTAAGCTGCAGGAGATTTTCTTGCCCACAGGGCCCATTTACTAAGCTGCAGGAGATTTTCTTGCCCACAGGGTCCATTTACTAAGCTGCAGTTGCTTTTCCTGCCATAAGGTCCATCATCTAAGTTGCAGGAATTTTTCGTGCCATAGTGTTCATTCGCTAAGCCGTAGGATGTATTATAACTTAATTTGGTTGTGTGTTAATTTTCCCACCACAAGGTATGAAGTCATTATTTTTGCTAGGTATTTAACTCATGCTGGCAGAAACCTGCACTAAAAGTGAAGGTTAAAGTACAACTAAAGGCTCCTGTCCTCTAAACAAGTACCAAATCCCCTTACTGCGGTGGTGTGATGCACAAGCCTAACAAAATAAAAATCCTTTACCTTCTCTGACTGAGCCAAATCCTCCTTCACTTGTGTCTCGCATGCTCCTCCTCTCAGACACTGCAGCTCACGGTAGGAGGGTTTCAGTAGCAGAGGCAGTGTTGTCAATCCAGAATGCGCTGTGCTTGGTGTGGCCAGGTGCTGACTGACAATTAGTGAAAAAAACTTTTTTAGAATCCCATTGTGGTACAAACAGGCACAGCCTATTTGGGAATAGCAACTCTTCTCTGAATTCAGGAGGTGGACTTCACCAGCAGAACCTATAGTTATTTACTCCCACACTGTGTACGTTTCTTTAGCAGCGCCCCCCACTAATTTACACTATGCTCTCCGGCAGCTCTCTCCCTAGTCCACACTACTTCCACTGTCTCCTTACTGGCATAGTGAAGAAAAACTCTCAACCAGATATTAAAGTATAATTACCACCCCTCCCCAATCAGGCATATTTATTTCTCCCTGTATCACCAACCATGTTCAGCCCAATTTTACCTATTTTCCCAGTGACCTATGATCACATCACATTCAGTCTGATGTATCCCCCTATCCACAGTTTCCTCTTTCCTTCCCTGGTCCATTTTGCCATCTCCCTTTTGTCTTTCTTCTGGATCAGCTCACGCTCTGTCTGTCTTCTCTTTTTGCCTCGTGCTGAAAGAAAAGAGGAACAGAAGCTCCTCTAAGAGTATCATTTGGATCTAAAGTAATTCAAGGTAAACACTATATGCTCACCTCCTTGTGTGACCGGGATCACACATACGGTAATCAGATAATTATGGGAGCAATACTCCTTATATAAAATAACATTTCGCAGAAATCTTCCAACAGGATCTCCAACCATAGTTGGATAAATTGAATTGGATGAATCACAATCATCCATTAAATGTCCAGTTTGGAAAGGCCCACAATACTGTAGTCCTCAAATGCAACTAAACACTGCAATAGAGTGTGTCACCATTATAGAGTTCCACGCAGCATTATTGGCATCATTTAAATATATGTCACATAATGGGAGATATAACCTATCATAATAGTTCCACAGGACTGTGCTAATATTACGTATTATGATTCCAAGAAACAGAATGACTCCCTTAGGACACATCTAGATATGTGCTCACACGCCTCTCAATTATTCTATTACCTTAGTGGAAATGGCTACTGTGAGAAGAATGGGGAGGAAAAGAAAAATAAGGTATGTAAAGTATAAAAAGCTGGCAATTATCTAGATGTATGTTTTTTATGATATCCATTAGTAAACATTTCTATAGGCGTGGTTTGTTATTATTTTTAAGATATGGGTGAAGTTCCTCTTTAAGGGGGGTCTTTTTATAATGCAGAGAATGAGACTTTTACAAACATTTGCTGGTGGAGAATCAATCACTCCCATTTAAAACACATTAACCTAGATGGGTCACCACCAGAGAATTTTTGTGAAAGTCTCATTCGCTGCTTTTATAAATAGACCCCAATGTGTTTTGTAACAGAATGAAGGAGATGTGACGGGCACCTATGATATTGACGCAGGCCTAGAACGTTTCTTTTTTGATGACCTCATTATTTGTAGCAGATTCTTTTTTACTATACATCAGAACAACTGCTGTATTTTCCTGATCTAGAACCTCCTTTAAATTGTGTTGGAAAACGCACCGTGAAATTGCACTTCAAGCTACCTCTGCTTTGTTTTCCTACAGGGTCAAAGTATAATTCCCATGCTGACTGGAGAAGTTATACCTGTAATGGAGTTACTGTCATCTATGAAATCACACGGTGTTCCTGAAGACATAGATGTAAGCTTTTAAACCAGACGTGCTTAAAGAGAATATCTCCACTTGTCTGGCAGCACAATGTTTGATGTATTTCGGTGTCACCTCGCTCATATATCACTGCTGGGGTTCACTCTTGGAAAAGTGGCTCTCTGCCTCCCTCTACTTTGTCTGCTAAATTATACTACAAGCAGCAATGCTTAAATGGCACTTATGATGTATAAAGAAATATTTATCTCAGAGATGTGATCACAGAAAAAGTAGGGTTTCTGATCATTTTCCACAGTGAAATAATTACATGCTTGGTTTATTGTACTCTTGTGCTGTTACTTAGATTTATTACATGATCAGGCTTAGTTAATAAGGCAAAGAATTCCAATTGCAGAAACAAATCATAGCCAATCACAAACTGCTTTAAATTAGTCAAAGGTAAAATGAGTGTGCATATCAACATTGCATTTTAGACTCCCGTATTAACAGAGTCAGTGACACACAAATACACTTAATGCTTTTCTGAGAGAGAGAGAGAGAGTGTGTGTGTGTGTGTGTGTGTGTGTGTGATAAATATATATATATATAATCATCTCTATATCTATATATATATACCTACACACACGTATGTGGTCAGGAATGTAAAAATGCATGTAGTTTTGTGTTCGTTAAAAAAACACTAATTATATTTTTAATTGGAACTAATGTAAATGCATGAATTTGATATTTAGTGCTTACACTGGGAAAGTGAGGGGCAGAACTTGGTACCAGTTAGGTGTTCTGCATGCACATCTGCTGACAAGGAATATGCTGCCAGGAGAAGAGAGAACAGAAGGATGAGCACATCAGTCTATTGCTGCTTCTTCACTGTCCAATCATATGCTGGAGGCAAGGAGGTGACCTAGCTGTGTTGCTCCACTGCGTTGTAGGAAAGACATCATGGCTATGCTCTCGGACAGGACTTAGTATAATTTATGACTGGGTGGACATAAACAGTATCCTAGTGGAGGTAAAACAGAATCAATACATGCATTTCAGTGGTATATGAATCTGTTTACTTGGAGTTGAGCATTAACTTTCAGCTGAATACAGTTTTAATTTAGATGACCTGGTCCAGGCAAACCGCCGTGAAATACATAAAAATGAGCTGGTTTTTGTGTACCTGTCCATCAAGTCCTGTTTTTTCTCTGATGCAGTTAAGTAACACAAGTCTCCTCCTCAGCCCATGACTTGAAAGGACAAGCACTGATGAGCTCATCTCTGTCACTCTGCTCTTTCCTCCTATAAGCATCTCCCTTGCTAGCACATGAACACTACAGTACAACTGATTGGCTCCCAGTACTGTCTCTCTGTCTCTGTCTGAGATCTGTTGTATTGGGGACCAAAGGAGGTTAATACCAGGTCAGATTAAAATACTTTAACTGTATATAAATAATTGATGATTATTTAGACCTCCAACCATTGTATTAGTAATTTATTCCTTGCTGAGACCTCTATGCCTGGCCTGTATAAGCAGATACAATCACCATGGGCAGTCTTTATCAAATAGCTGAACTCACCAAATACCTTGTTCATCCACGAAGATCTTTATTGAATGCAGCAGGTTACAGAAGACAACAGGATGTAGCAGATGATTGAAAAGACGGTAACAAAAAAAAAAGATCAAAACATGGTAATGCTTTCCACCATGCAAGCATATTAACATGTGGCCATGAGACAAGCAGCCATTTTGATGCCATAAAGACAATGTGAACAAGAAAGGAAGTACAACATGCACAAGGGGAGGGAATACAGATGTGCAAAATGCCCACAAGATGAAAGTATATAAACTAAGTATACTAGTGCCCTAGAACAATGGCTTAAGGAAAATTAGCTATGTAATTCTCAATTCACAGTAATATGAATATTAAAGGAGAACTATGGGGTCAGGGCTTTTCCCCATAGTTCTCCTAAGTGTCACGGTAGATCACAAACTAGCGTTCTCCCGTGACCCAAAGCTCAGTATACCACGAGCTACAGCTCGCGGTATACTGAGACGCCGCAGCCGGAACGGATCCCGACAATTCTGTCTGGATCCACCCAGCTGCGTGAGTGACCGCTGGCTCGCCAGCTGTGCCCGCCCCCTCCATTCCTCCAGTCAGCGCTGGAGGATCGGACAGGGGAGGGGGGGAATCCCTGCAGGGAGCCGTGAGTGACGGCCACGGCTCTTTGCAGGGATAGATCGAGAAGTGAGCAAATGACGGTATGTGTTCGCTCACTTCCCGATCTACTGAGCCGACCTATGACAGTTTAATTGTCACAGGTCGGCTCAGATTATGAGGCTGAGTGAAAATCACTCGCCTCACAATGCATAGTCCTGGTTAAAGGAGAATTATATCACATTTTCATACAATAGATGTAACAGCACAATGATAATACATCATTAATGTATACATTTAGTGACAGTGTATACAAAGCTTCATTATTTGTGTATTTTATATTTGCTTGGAATTCAGCTTTAACCATCATGGCATGTAACAGATGTAAATCAAAGCAGGGTACTGGAGAACCTTTGCATCTCTGCAGAGGACTGAACCCTGCTCTGCCCCACATAAAACAGAATGATGTATTTTAGTACTCTGTGGAATATTGATATTATTTACTATTAGACAAATGTGAGTATTGCTGGTCTCTGTTATGAAAAGGCGGCACAGTTTTCCATGCATTCATCTTACTTATTGCCGGTAGAGTCAATTCAGCTTTGGCCTTTTGTCAGCCCTCGTGGTTGCATACCAAGTGTATCTTGCTAAACAGACATGAACATCCTTTTTGTTTCATGCTTTGGTGAGACAAAGTCATTTCTCACAATTGTGTGCTAAATTTTTCTTTTTCAGATTGCTACCACTGTCCTTAATGATGATGACATAGGGGACAGCTGCCATGAAGGATTTCTCAGCAAGTAATATTAAATATATATTTGTTTATAAATTTGATGTATTTTGCAACGTTGGGCTTCCATTGTAAAACAAATGAAAAATAAATATAACTGATGATTCTATCAGATACATTATGTAACGGAAGGTTAGACTATAACAGCAGAGCATGATTGTTGGATAGAGCCAACAGCTTTTCTTTGCTTTCTCTCTTTTTCTTTTACTCTCTATAAATGAGCCCCCAAAACTGAGCCATCAGTATTTAAATTGTAAATTTATATATAACAAAAATTATATATAATATAATATAATATATATACACACACACACACACAGCAAACTAGTAGTCCATCATTGGAGCCATTTTTTAAAATGTATTTTATTTATCCGATTAACCGATTAACCGAACTTAATAATCGGCTAACTAATCGATTTTGAAAATAATCGTTAGCTGCAGCTCTAGACCAAGGGGACATTGCAAAAATTGAAAAAAATTGAACTTTGGAAGCTGTGTCCAAAAAAAGACAGGCAGAGGACAAATGACTTGTCACCAGAATTGCTTGTATGCATTCTGCAGCTGCACTTTTCCCCATTACTGACTTACTGTGCCTTGTTCTGCACTGTCTATGTGTGCAGGCAGCCATCTTGGTGGAGGCGGGACTTTGCTTCCTCATGTCAGAGCCTACAGCAAGAGTAACAGGGAGCAGCACAGTAATGACTTTAACAAATCTAATTTCAAAACTCCTGAGACTAGCTACAAGACAGCAGTGCCTTAGATCTCACACTGCAGATGTACAGCTATGAGGTTGAAGAAACAGGAGTGCCTTGGGACACTCATGCCAGGAAGTGAACTGATATTTCTCAAATGGTACATTTTCATAGTACTTAGGCACAATTAACACTTTTATGTTTTTAGTGATGTATGTTTTGTGTGCTTTCCTCAACAGTGCCATCAGCTCACATTTACAGACATGTGGCTGCTCTGTGGTGGTGGGTACCAGCGCAGAAAAAGTGAATAAGGTAATGGAAAAATATATATTTTTACATATGTTAATATTCAAGTATGTTTGCATGTGCCTCCTTTTTATTTTCTTTGCTCTTTTCTTCTGTTAAAGCACAGTTACACCAATAGAATGATGTCATTATGGTCACTGCTGTTTGTAGACTTTATTTATACAGGAGCCACTGTTGGCACTCCTGCTACACAAAGCCGAACCCTGTCCGTTCCTCCAGTCAGAGATGATCAGGAAATAAGCAATGTGTTCGCTCACTTCCCGATCTCTAGAGTCGAGGTGTGGCTGTTTCAATGTCACATGTCGGTTCTAACTATGAGGACGAGTGTAAATCACTCACCTCATAGTTCTCCTTTTACGGAACCATATCTGTGGCTCTGGCAATTATCCTAAAATGAACAATATTAATTTTGGGATGGAGGTGAAACGTAGATGCCTTCTGCATGAAGGCTCCTCTGTGCCTCACAATGATTCAGTGGATAACTTTTTGGTTGCTTTTGACCCACCATAACTTACAAGGTTATACCTTCTTGTTCTCCAAGTCATATTGCATTGAAGCCATTGTTTGCATGCACTGCACTGATTATGCCAAACAAGAGTGAGGGCCTGTTCACACCAGGGCTGCCTGTTAATGCAGTGCATGTGATTAACTCACGGTACAATGCATTACAATGCATTAACAGTGTGGGTGGTGCAGTGCATTGCCATTCATTTAAATAGCTCCCCAAACGCTCCCACCCACAATGCAATCGACTGCACCAGAATAAAACCCCTTATTTTATGGACTGTGATGAAAGTGAGACTTCCAAATGCCATCTGTTTTAGGAAGGCTCCACTGTGTTTTATAATGATGCTACAAAATAAAGAGATAAGGACACGTTTGCTCAAACAAAAAAATATCTCAACCTTCTAGGATTAATGTAAAAAAAATAGTTTAATTGGAGTGGAGCAATGTGTTGTTGCTACCGTTGCTTGCTATTGGAGTTGTCTGCTCGTTAATAGAAAAATCGTCATAGCCGAATAGAGCAGAGCTGTTCTGTAGTGAGCCACGAGTTCATGTAAATAACACATTTCTTGTGACAACATAGCTTGTAAAGTCGTATACCAGTAGCGCAGCACTTGATCTCTTCAAAATGCTCTGTTTATAAGAAACCATTTACAAGTGTTCTCACAGAAGAGTGATTTATTTGTCAAAGCAATCAAAGCTACCCATGCTGAGGTCTGCTAGACAGGTGAAATGACTCTTCTTGACAACTGTGTTTTGGAAATGGTTCTAATAAATGATAGCAGTTTGGAGCAGCACCCATTCAAATAAATACGGACATGACAGGCTCGACTTTTCTTAAACTTCAATTGCACATTTGTTGTAGGTTTTTGTTTTCCGGCACACTGTGCTTCAATTTATATTCTATATTCTATGTGTATTTGTCTTTTGGAACTCTTAAGACCTGGTTGGATCATTCTTTTAGGTAGATTTCACAGCATGCAGTAGAAATGCTATATTTTGCATTGATGTAGTCCTTGTTTGTATGTGGCAACTTTAATTTGGATGTCAGCTGGAAGCTATACAGAAGCAAAACACAGATCAAATAACTCATTTCTTTCATTCTTATCCTCAAACAAATTCCTCTTCATGGAACCAAGGTACTTGTTACCATATTGGTAATGTGTGAGTTGACTTACTTATGTCACTAATAACAGGAGTCTATCATTTGCAAAGATATTTTCATTCTCTAAAACACTGTCCCATGAGTCCCATTTATTTTTTAAAGTAGAATCAATTGGAAATGGGCTTTTATATAGTCTGAATCTCCACTCCTAAAGGCCATCCCTGGGGACAATTGGAAAAGAGCCCATTGCTCCCATCCACCTAGTGAAAACACTGATTCACAACTTTTGTCGCCACCGCTTGTCATGGCATCACCATGCCACCGCAGGAGTCTTCAGGACCCCATGTGAACCCCACCAATGGACTTAATGGAGAGTGTCCACATCACCAGAAAGCAATGTGGGCAGAAAAAGAATGACCCTCCCACCCTGCAGAGAAGAAGTTAAAAGACTTAGGACCTAGCCTGTCACATGACCGTGGATATAGATTTGTGTTTGTTTTTTTTTTATTATTATTATTATTACAGGTGCGATTAGCTAGAGGGTGGTGGAGATCTGGTTTGTTCATAGGCTGGGCACAGGTTCACTTTAAAAATCAATAAAATATTTGTGTATTCTGAACAAGTGGGTCAACGCACTTTAAAACAAGCCCTCATTCACATTTGTAGCGATAAGCATCTTGGAGAAATTCATCTTCAGAGGTCACAACAGAGGTACTAAAATCACAACTCGTTATCCCTTTATTTTCTAAAGATAGGAGAATTTTGGCAGCATGCCAGGCTTCTAATGCAAACTATCGGCCCCATTCACACTGAGCGACACTTACCTCGAGCGGATTTCCGCGCGATCCATATAGTGCGACTTTTCGGGCGACCCTCACTATTGGGCTGCATGCAAAAAGAGCAAAATCGCACGACATCCGTGCAAAAAAGGGTCCTGCACAAGTGACAGCGACGAGCTACAGGCGATATTGCGCGGTAGATTTAAAAGTGCCATTGAAAAGCAGAACGACCGAGATCTCGAGATATCGCGCAGCAATATGGGCGATTTTTGAGCGGAAATCAACGTGGCAATCTGCTCTGTGTGAATGGGACCTTCGACCCCCTTCACACTGAGCGATTTATCGCGTGATTTCAGCTCCAAAATCGCTTAAATATTAACTCAATGTAGCTTGTCCAATGCATTTCAATGGAGCTGTTCACATCTCACAGCTCAATGTCGCCTGTAGTGAAGTGAGCGAGCGATGGTATGTGTTCTCTCACTTCCCGATCAATTAAGCCGACCTGTGACAGCTTCTTTGTCACAGGTCGCCTCTAACTATGAGGATGAGTGGAAATCACTCACCTTTATAGTTCTCGTTTTAATGCTATCGTGTTACAGTTGGGGGCTGGGCTTTGTTTTATATATAGTTTTCAGTTTTTTACCTAATTTGCCATAAATAGCTCATCTAAATAAGTAAACAGCTGCAAATTGTTTTTAATAGCAGACCTAAAATGACACTTTGCTGAAAAGAAAACGAGTGCAATGAAAACGTGGGTGGAGTTTTCATTTTTCCATTGAAATCAGACGGACTAAGTTCAGTTTTTCAGTATTATATACAATGGGATTGGGGAGGCCTGCTGATGGGTTGGAGGCGTTCACCGTTCTGTGTTTCAGCACTGACAACTGAGAAGCAGGTCAGGGCAGTGGCATCACTGGGGGTGTGGACTGCACCCGGGTGACACCAGTGCACCACCAGGTCCTGCTTCTGTGCCGATAAAATAGTCCCTACTATTTTATCGGCACAGAAAATGGATTTAGGATGGAGAGCAGACTGGAGAACATCCGTTCTCCGATCTGCTCTCTGTGATCAGTGAGACAGGGAATGCACACAGCGCTTCCTGTCTCAGCTGTCACAAGCCGGGCTTCACACGTCTGTGCTTTATCTCCTGTATCAGAGGGCAGTGGAGACAGACTATTTACGTTTTTATTGCTGAATATACCCTTTGTGGATTCTTGCTTGTTTGGTTGTTATGATAGTTTGCAGTAACCTGGCATAGGGTTCATAATTAGCATTCATGTCAAAACCAGACTGTAGTTACAGAGCAGTTCCCATCTGTAATATAGCCCACCTGCTAACGAAGAGCCATCATGTTCTATTTCTTGAATAATAATAAAAAGCGTTTTTGAAACATTCTAGATATGCGTATTTTGATGCATTAGGTATTATCTTTCAGTTTTATTCTGTCTTACAGATGGTGAGGACGCTGTGCCTTTTTCTTTCTCCTGCAGAGCGCAAGTGCTCCAGGTTTTGCAGGTCTGAATCATCATTCAAGTATGAATCTGGCTTGTTTGTGCAAGGCCTGCTGAAGGTCAGTACATGAAGGGCTAACTGTTTCAAAGGGGCATGATTTGTGCTGCTGTCATTCATTGATCTCGCATCTGCTTGCTTTTTACCTGCTGATAGCTCAAAAGTTCTAGTTCAAAGACACAATTTATACTATGCTCCTGTTAAGAGAAATGCTCTCCCTGATATTTACTAGGAGGTCACTATATTAATGTTCTGTAGGACTTAGGCGATGCCTTTCAGAATTAAAGGGGAATTCCACTTTCCCAGGCGAATTTTGGAAAACGGAATCATCCCCACCAATCTGCCCCCCTCCTTGCTGCACTTACCTGTCAAGAATTGTTCCTTCCCCTCCGTGGCTCCCAGTGTAATATCCATGCTGTGTACATGAGATTGCAGCCCTGTGATATGTATTTCAAATTTTTCTTGTAAATTGCGAGCACTCATCTGGTGACCATGCTGACAAATGAGTGCTTGACATTTGCTTTGGAAAGGTGCAGTCTGTTCCATGTTAATATATTAGTTTTAGGTGGCTGGCAGTAAATTACTCACTAAGTGTAATACATTTCAGCTTACCAGTATTTAGATATGGTAGCTGCATTAGTTTAATGGAGGCTTTTTTCCCTTTATTTTCACCTAGTAATCCTGTGAATAACACACTTCCTGTCCCTTCATGGCTACATTGACTTTCCCGGAAGCAATCGTGGAAGCAATCGTGGTTGTCATGCAAGTTGCACTTTAAAAAAAAAAAGATTGTTTTATCCCCCAGTTCAGCTCACAGGAAGTGACAAATGTTCACTGGAAGTGAGAATGTTCTCCTTGCCTAAAAAGAGAAAACAAATGCATCCACCACATCTAAAGAGAGTGTGTGCGTATATGTACAGTTGTGTGAAAAAGTGTTGGCCCCCTTCCTGATTTTTCATTGTTTTGCACGTTTGTCACAATTTTTAATGTTTCAGATCATCAAACAAATTGAAATGTTAGTCAAAGATAACACAAGTAAACACAACATGCAGTTTTTAAAGGAAGGTTTTTATTATTAAGGGAAAACAAAATCCAAACCCACATGGCCCTGTGTGAAAAAGTGTTTGCCAACCCCCCACCACCACCCTTAAATAACTTAACTCTGGTTTATCACACCTGAGTTCAATTTCTCTAGCCACACCTGTTCGCAATCAAGAAATCATTTAAATAAAGTGATGTAGTGCGATAATCGTATGCGATCGACTTTTCGTACGACAATCGTAACGTGTGAATGTAGTGCCCGACCGATAGTACTGTACAATCGTACGACTTTTGACGGTCAAGCATGTTTGAAAACTTTGGTCGATCGTACGATGTTCGCATGGTTGGTGGCTTTTAGGTCCGTCAAAAGTCGTACGATTAACACTGCGCAAGCGCAAATGAACATAATTACGGTCAATTACCGCAAGTCGTCCAGGTGTTTTTTTTTTTTTTTTAACTACCGCTGATTGAACCTTTTCGATAATCGGGGCAGGATGGGGCCGTCGTACGAAAAATCGTACGACGGTTTGAAATAGACCAAAAGATCCTCAAAAGCTACACATCATGCCGAGATCCAAAGAAATCCAGGAACAAATGAGAACGAAAGTAATTGAGATCTATCAGCCTGGAAAAGGTTATAAAGCCATTTCTAAAGGTTTGGGACTCCAGCGAACCACAGTGAGAGCCATTATCCACAAATGGCGAAAACATGGAACAGTGGTGAACCTTCCCAGGAGTGGGCGACCAACCAAAATTACCCCAAGAGCGCAGTGACGACTCATCCAAGAGGTTACAAAAGACCCCACAACAACATCCAAAGAACTGCAGGCCTCACTTGCCTCAGTTCAGGTTAGGGTTCATGACTCCACCATAAGAAAGAGATGGGCAAAAATGGCCTGCATGGCAGAGTTCCAAGTCGAAAACCGCTGCTGAGCAAAAAGAACATAAAAGCTCATCTGCGTTATGCCAGAAAACATCTCGATGATCAATGGGGGGGCCAAGGCTCACTGTTGCACATAGGGAGAGAAGGCTAGACCATGTAGTCCGATCCAATAGAAGAGCTACTGTAGCTCATATTGCTGAGAAAGATAATGTTGGTTTCAATAGAAAGGTTTCTGAACACACAGTGCATCACAGTTTGTTGCGTATGGGGTTGCATAGCCGCAGACTGATCAGGGTGCTCATGCTGACTTGAATTTGGCAGGGTGTCGACTGCCAAAAGCGCCTACAATGGGCACGTGAGCATCAGAACTGGACCATGGAGCAATGGAAGAAGGTGGCCTGGTCTGAGGAATCACGTTTTCTTTTACATCTTTTGGATGGCCTGGTGCGTGTGTGTGTTGCTTACCTGGGGAAGAGATGCCACCAGGATGCACTATGAGAAGAAGGCAAGGCAGTGGAGGAAATTTGATGCTTTGAGCAATGTTCTGCTTGGAATCCATGGGTTATGCTATTCATCTGCCATTCATGTGGATGTTACTTTCACACTTACCCCCTACCTAAACATTGTTGCTGACCAAGTACATCCCTTCATGGAAACGGTAACCCTTGATCGCAGTGGCCTCCTTCAGCAGGATAATGCACGCTGCCGAACTGCAAAAATGGTTTGAGGAACACAACAAACAGTTTGAGATGTTGATTTGGCCTTGAAATTCTCCAGATCTCAATCTAATCAAGAGTCCGTGGGATGTGCTGGAAAAACAAGTCCAATCCACGAAGCCCCAATCTTGCAACTTACAGGACTTGAAGGATCTGCTACTGATAGCTTGGTGTCAGATACCACAGCATACCTCCTTCAGAAGTCTGTGTGTTAAATATAAAAAAAAAGCATTTTTATTTCTGTCTGCCTTGTGGATGGAGAATTTTCTTTTCTTCATATGTGGTGCAATCATTTGTCATCTGTTCAGTAAGCTAGGGGAAATCTTTCCAACAGAGACCAAAATAGCAGTGAAACTTGACACAAGTTCTACTCCTTTTCAACTCTATCCAAAACTAAAGATAAACCTGTGCCTCCTTCTGGCTCTAAAAAATGACTCTAATCTATCCAAAACTAAAGATATATAGATATAGATAGATAGGCTCTAAAAAATGAGGGCCCCATATCCACGGGTAATTTCACTCTTTAGCCTGCTAAATTAAATAGTCTAGCCTTTTAATCTGAGCTGTTCACAGAATGAGAGTTTAGATTCGAGGGATTATCATCATGTTTCGCTGACTTCCTTTCCCACCATTGTTTAGATCTGTTGTAGATTTGTCTTTAAAGAATTGTTGCCACAACTTAATCGTTTTCGAACCCTCCGCCCCAGGCAACCTAGTGTATGGAGCACTTGGTCCTGTTCCGATCTGTGTCGTCATTGCCGAGCTAGCGTGGTTGACAGTTTGCCCCACTCCCTCCCCCATCGCTGCCTGACTACGCTGCTAACAAGGAGATGAATAACTAATTTGCTTTGAATGACAGCGCATGTCTCTGGCAGCAGAGGCACTCGGATGCAAATGTTGTCATTCACCACAGCAGGGGATGGGAGCTTGTCTGTGCAAGTGCTTCTGTTTGTACTTCTTGTGTACAATTCTGCCTTCCTGTGAGCAAAGGTGAACAAGCACTGGTGGCACTTGAAGTTCCTTACAGTGCTGCTCATTCACCTGTTGCTGCCAGAGAGAGGAGAACAGGTAATGTCAGAGATAGGAGCAGGGCCACACAATGTGAAGATGACCGGAGAGACAGAGTGGGAAAGAAGGAAATGAAGGGGGATATAAAGACAACAGTAGATAGGAACCAACACAGATGAGGCTGTACACTTGCTGGGGGAGCAGACAATGATCTTGTTCTTAAGAACAAGACTGGTATCTGTACAGTACATAACACAAGTACATTGTACAGATAGGTTCTATACTGTTCTTCTTTTATGTGTTCTAGATTAATTTACGAAAGGCATAGATTTAATGTGCATGTGATCAGGTAATCTAAAACAATCTTATTAATCTGAATTACCTGATGACAGGCAAATTACACAATATAGGATGCAAAAAGCACACAAACAAGATGGGGCAGTGGCTAGGGCTGTGCTGCACCTCTCTCATAGGAAGAGCCATTAATTAGGCTTCAATCTGGGGTGGATTTACAGCCAGCATAAAGAAAAAAACTGATTTCCCTACCACAGCATGGATCAAAATTGAATAAAGTGTTACATGCACTTGGTCTCCTGGGGGATTCAAAAAATAAGAATAGGGTTGTAGTGATAATTCTTTTTCAAGTGGCTGTAAGTGCATGACATTAAGATGTTTGCAATTTTTTTAGGACGCAACTGGAAGCTTTGTGCTGCCTTTCCGCCAGGTCATGTACGCTCCTTACCCTGCCACTCACATTGATGTGGATGTAAACACCGTTAAACAAATGCCCCCGTGCCACGAACATAACTACAACCAAAGACGTTACATGAGAGCAGAGCTGGCAGCACTGTGGAAGGCCACGTCAGATGAAGAAATGGTGGCAGATTCTGTCATCCACACAGATGAAAGTTTCACCCCTAACTTGTAAGCAAAACTGGTGTTTCAAGTCAATTTTCTTATTAATAATCATCTTCCTCCAGAATTTCCTTTTAATAGACAGAATTCCCACTGTGAAAACTCATCATGTCAAAAAGCTACATCTCTCTTGTTGTCTAGAATACATTAGCTGAGTGACAACTTAAGTGTATGAAAGCTAATTTGGACATCTTGTCAGAGAGGGCTGGAAAATAGTATTAATAGAGGTATGAAAACTACAGTTAGCTGCTCAGTTGAGTAAATTAATGGATAGGTGCAGCAGGGCTGCTGGCAGTAAGCAAGTGTCTTGTGAAATGGTAATTTGATTATCTACACAGAACATCCAATTCCTGTGCGTTAAACTTGTCACCTCTTTACCTTAGCTTGGCTAACTGCTGGGAAAGGGTTGGATGATTTCAAGCGTATTTCCACTTTTGCAGCCAAATTGGCATAACAGCTATTTTATATTTGTTACATCTCCTCATTCACATAACGTAACAAAAAGATTTAGGAATTGCTGCTTACATTTTTAAGTTATTTTTTACTTGCTTAAAAATCCACTTAACCCTGTCTATACTGTGCTCTCAGATTTCATTATCAGTTGTAAACTAGAGTTAAACACTGTCTGTCACTGTAAGGATTAAAGACTTACAGGGTTATTCACAAAAGGGTGAAGAGGCTGGAGAAGACAGGAGAAGTGAACAATCTAGGTCAACATAGCTGATTTGGAAAAATGTTCCAATTCAGCTCACTTTCCAGTTCAGCTATGTTGTCCTAGATTGTTCCCTTCTCCTGCCTTCTCCAAGCTCTTCACCCTCTTGTGAATAGCCATGTTAGAAGCATTGCATGTTAATAAGAGGAAGCTTGGTCTGTCCCTCAGTTTGTCCCTGTACTTTAACTTTTTGAAAACGGCTCAGCATTTTCACACTTAAAGGAACACCTAAAATACAGCTGGGTTTTCTCAAATTTGACTGCAAAAGTGGGAATACACTTTAAGCACTCATCGATTGTGTACAGTAGGTAAATATGTGTTCAACAACTGAGCCCAGCAGATGCTATAAAATTAGCAATGTTTGACCCGCTCCTGTGATAGACTACAATCCCACAATGTGTTTACTGATTTGTATTGAGATTGTAGTCAATCATGGGAGCGAGCTTGGAGTGGTGGCTACTTTACAACATACACAGGGACCATGGGGAATAAAAGTAGCCACCCTCCAGAAGGAAGGACAGTGTCAGCACCAATTCATAGATGATTTGAGGATCTACAGCCGAGTGATACACAAATAAGATACATTTATGTTAATAGTTAAGGTATTTGAATGCATTTTTAAGATTTAACTCCTGAGTTTAGTGTCACTTTAAGGCAGGGCTGGCCAATCTTCAGCTGTGGTGAAACTACAAATCCCATGATGCATCTCTCTCCGTGAGTCATGTCTGTGAGAATCTTGCAATGCCTCATGTAGTTCCACCACAGCTGGAGGGCCAGAGTATGGCTACCCCTGCTTTAAGCAATGTTTTTTGGGGGTTTTTTTTAGGCTTGACCACCCACAGTCAATTAAAAGCAGTGACTGCTTAAAGCCTAGGTTAGGACAACTGTATTGTGCAGTATGACTGGTCATAAAGCTCAGGTTCAGTCAAAACGGTGTTGGAAAATATTTACAGCCACATCATTTTTCTATAAGAAAAAAAAAAACAATACTTTCATTGTTCATTTACCATCTTAAGCATTATACAAATTGGTTGTCATTGTCTTGGCAAATAAGGTTTTTCAGGCAAGGGGCAAATATATTATTTTCTCATGAGATATGCCCATCTATGGGTAGCTTTAGCCTTAATTTATTTGTTATTAATACTAATTCTTCTTTCTCTAGGAATATTTTTCAAGACATCCTACACCGGGACACATTTGTCAAAAACTTCTTAGATCAGGTAATATTTATATGAAACCCCTTTTGGAATGAACGATGTAGGCTAACGATTATTGCAGCTAACGATTATTTTCATAATCAATTAGTTGCCCAATTATTATTTTTTCAACTAATTGGTTTATTTGCATTCAAAAAATCTCTCTCTCCCTCTTCTCCTCTCCTCTCTTCTCCCTCCTCTCTCTCTCCTTTTCCCCCAACCAACTAACCGATAATGAGAATAGTTGCCAACTATTCTCATAATTGATTATTATCGATTAGTTGTTTCAGCCCGACAACGCTGTATATAACACCTTTTTCTCTTTTGGAGCTGTACAAATTATAGTGTGGTCTTGCTGTAGGATAAACAATGGCTACAAACCTGGGGTGGTGTTACCTATTTCTAGGATGGGTTTGAAAATTAACTCCATAATCTGGTTGCTATGTTTGAAGCCTAACTGAATAACATTTTTAAACAATTGCCTTTTAAAAACGTTTGTTGCATCTCAGTGCTGGTGATCTTTTTGCAACCACTCCCTGTCTACATACATGCATTCCAGCAATGGCGGTATAACATTTCTGAGGGCAGTTTCCTGATGTGACAAAAGTGGACCATGTCTGCGTAATGTGTGCTAAAATGGGCACTTTTCCATTAGAAGTCTGTGTGATGGGGTGACAATGCAGGAGCACAAGCGGGAGTCGGGGACAGAGCTTTGTCACCCTTCATAGCAAGATCATCAGATATTATTATTGTAATGAAAGTTGCAGATTTTAAACTTTTGAAAATTACTTTTAAATTCAAATTAACATGTTAAAGATATGAGATGTTAGTGCTTGGGTTTACATATACTTTAATATATCTAATCTGTACTGGTTTTTAACATAAGAATGCAGTCTCTTCTTTTCCTAGTTGCCAGTGCCTCTTAAATATCATGCACCACTGGGTATGCTTTTATTCTGTACAAATCACTTGTATATTCTGGAGAGCTTCATTTTATCTCCAAAGCTGTTTCTGTTATTAAAATTCATTTAATTTATCTTCTCAAACTAAATGTTGTCATAAGCTTTTCTTTACCAATGTTATTTCACATGCATTTTGTTAGCATTAAATCCCTATGCTGCAAAAATGGAATTGAAAAATATCTCTCCCTTATTAAAGAAGATATTAAATACTCACCTTTCCCACTGCCCGCACCACTGAATTCTGCTCTATTAAAGAGAAATTGTCCACTGAAGCCTGCTGAGAGCTGACACATTGAAAATTGTCCATCTTCTGGTCCCATAGTGGTTCTGCTCAGTGGTTCAGTTGATCTCATGGTCCCCCACAGTTCTCAGTGGTACAGTTGATCTCATGGTCTTCCACAGTTCTCAGTGGTTCAGTTGATCTCATGGTCCCCCACAGTTCTCAGTGGTTCCGTTGATCTCATGGTCCCCCACAGTTCTCAGTGGTTCAGTTGATCTCATGGTCCCCCACAGTTCTCACTGGCTCAGCTGATCTTATGGTCCCCCACAGTTCTGACTGGCTCAGCTGATCTCATGGTCCCCCACAGTTCTCAGTGGCTCAGCTGATCTCATGGTCCCCCACAGTTCTCAGTGGTTCAGTTGATCTCTAATGTCCCCCACTGTTCTCATGGTTCCCCACAGTACCCAGTGGTTCAGTTGATTTTATGGTCCCCCACTGTTCTCAGTGGTCCAGCTGATCTTATGGTCCCCCACAGTTCTCAGTGGTTCGTTTGATATCATGGTACCCCACAATGCCCAATGGTTCAGTTGATTTGCAAAGCTTTCAGTGATTCAGTTGATCTCTTGGTCTCCCACAGTGTTCAGTGGTTTGGTTGATCTCATGGTCCCCCACAGTTCTCAGTGGTTCAGTTGATCTCATGGTCCCCCACAGTTCTTAGTGGTTCAGTTGATCTCATAGTCCCCCACAGTTCTCAGTGGTTAAGCTGATCTTATGGTCCCCCACAGTGCTCAGTGGTTCAGCTAATCTCATGGTCCCCCACAGTGCTCAGTGGTTCAGTTGATATCATGGTCCCCCACAGTGCTCAATGCTTCCGCCCTGCCAACCTCCACATCACTACTGTGATCGACAGTTCCAGAAGCGTCAGCTTCACAACTCAGAGCAATTTTCACGATTCCTCTTCAACAGAATGCCATTTGGCAGTGCCGCCAGTGGGAAAGGTGAATATTTACTCTTTCCTTTTTCAGGGAACAGGTTTTTCTGTAATTTCATACAGGGTCACAACATTCACCCATGCCTACATTTAGTTGTTTGGTCTACTTCATCTGTATTCCATCATTTGTTTCAATGTGATGTTCTGGAGTCATTACAAAAAGATCTTGGATGTCTTTGACTAATAAAAATGGTTTATAAGGCATTTCACCTGATAAACGCTCTTTATTTTCCAGGTATTCTATTTGAAGCCAAACTTATCTCTCAGGAGAACATTTCTGGCGCAGTTTTTGCTGATACTTCATAGAAAAGCTCTTACGCTAATAAAATACATTGAAGATGACACGTAAGTTGTTTTTTTCATGTGTGTATGTTATTGTTACCATAATGATAATGCTGCTAATGGTCCATCACTGTGACATGTAGCCTCACCAGCTAATAGTGAGGTGTAGGAGGGGCTGGACCAGTGACCATAGGGACTGATCATCATTTTGTTAATAGTGCCCCAGTTTTCTAGGGGGTGGGAAGCTGTTCAAATCCAGACACAAATGCAGGCACCTGGAGTAGAAGACTAAAGAATATAAGTGTCAGATTGTCTCGTAATAAGGTTTCAGAGTTTTTTTTATTTGAGATTTTAAATGCTTTAAGATATATGTTCTGCTAAATGTTTCAATGTTCTCTTCTGTTTGTGTTCTGTCTGACCTGGACAGGAAGTAATGAGGACACAGAGAGAAATAAAATACTAACAGATGTTCTAACCCTTCCATAAGCCGACCATACCTTGCTCAAATTGTGGCCAATTCCTGCTGAAGTGAATGAAATTCGAGCTGAGGGTGGCTCCGTTGCTACCACCTGGCTTGACAAAAGTTGATTTTTCAATTGAATTTTGTCAAAGGAGCCGGGTGGCTATTAGTGACTACTTCCAATCAGATGCAGCCACATTTTGGGTATTCAGCAGCTGCAGCTCCTGGTGGTTTTTCGGTATAATAGCCAGCAAGGGAGATTCCTTCATCCACGCTATTTAGATTTGATGAGGGAATGGTTTGGTTCCATGGGCTGGACGAGAGAAATCCAAAGGTGCATGGCCAGCTTTGGTCTGCTAGAATTTTTATTTTTTTTTTGCTGCTGCTGGTGTTCCCATTGCAGGATTTCCCCTAATTTGCTGTTCTAAAACCGATCAAGCAGATAGGAAGGGAAGGATTTTTCCCCCCACTTCATGTCCTCTCTGATTCCTGTCAAATAGAAGTAAGTAGAAAGTCCAAAAAGAGAGCACCAAACAAAGGTTTCAAGATTACAAATTCCTTTTAATATCAGTACTAGTTCACAACAGGATAACACAAAACAGCCAATCCGTTTCGGGGGCCCACAAAACTGCTTCCTTCCTCGAGGCTCAGATGTTGTAAATGGTAGGACTTAGAGATGGCATAATAAACAAAAAAGAAATTCTTAGTTGGACGTTACAAAGTGCCAGCAGTTTCTGTCGCAGCAGAGCTCATTTTCACACATTTGAAAATAGAATTATGTGGACCAGTGGTTCTCAACCTTTCTAGGGCCAGGACCCCTTGGTAACATTTGCCAAGCTGTGGTGACCCCCCAACGGTAAAATTTAGCGATGGCGCGGCTGCTGCAGCGACATCTGGCGGCGTGGCGGGACAACTGACACTGCTGCGCTAGGAGAGGGCTGAGGAGGACTCTCACCTAGCACAGCAGAAATCACACAGCGACCCACAGGTTGAGAACCACTGTTGTAACAGCTAAAATGGCAAACCATATAACACAAGCCGTGGGTGTCGGCTTTTATTATCAATATTAATGATAATAATAAAAGGTTTATGGTTTCTATTGGGAAATAATTACTATTATTTTTGAAAAAAAATACTATTTTTATTATCATCTACATATAAATTCTACATATAAAAATGGGTTGTAATAATAATAAAAAAGGTTTGCGTTTTCTTTTTAAAAAAAAAATAGTAATTTTATTTCAAAAGAAAACTCAAACTTTAATTTTTATATACAACCCATTTCTATATGTCAGTTTTATAGGTAGATGATAAAAATAATAATAGTAATTTTTTTCCAAAGGAAAACTCCAACCTTTTTTATATTTTTACTATTAATTACAACCCACTTTTATATGTAGATTGTAAGCTCTGCTGTAGAGCACATATTGATTATTAAACAGTCGCAGCCTTATTGTGCCGTACGCCTTCAGAATAGAAAACAAAAAAATCGCCATTGGAATGCATAGCTAGATTCCTATTGGCTATTTCACTTTACAATAGCCAATAGCAAACTAGTTATTGCACCCGCCTTCTGCTGTTGTCAATCACTAGATAGGGACCTGATGGAGAACTGCAGGTCAGCCTCTGCTGATTGACAGCAGCAGTGGGTGGGTGCAATAGCTAGTTTGCTATTGGCTATTGCAAAGGGAAATATCCAATAGGAATCTAGCTATGCATTCCAATGGTGATTATTTTATTTTTTTTCTGACTTACGGCGGCTCCCGATGTCAGAATTAAAAAAAAAAACATAGCAGGGAAAGGTTTACTCTGCTTGATCTAGCAGATTAAACCTTTCCGGGAGAAAGTGTTTCTCTCGCGGGCGGCCGGGAGCCGCTGTCTAATAGAGGGAGACTCCCGGCAACCCCTGTCAAATTGTCATTCGGCCCCTGACGGGGTTGCAAACCACAGGTTGAGAACCGCTGATGTAGACATACTGTGAATGGGGGTACAGCCAGCAATGAACAGTTGACACATTTTCTAATTCTTTCAAGCTCAATTCAAAACAAAATCTAGAAATAGGCTAGAACTCCCAGAGCTTTTTTTTCAGGCATTAGGATTTTTGTTTATAAATTATAATTAGAAAAAAGAATCTAGAAAATGTAGAAAGCAAATGACAGTTTTCATTGACTGTTCCCAGTGAAGCATTTGCACAGATAGTGCAGCTCCATGTGTTTGCCCTAATAACGCCTACTGACTACAAGAATACCAGAAGTACATTTCTAACATTATGTATCAGGGTGACAAAGCCAAATGTCAATGTTTGACTTTCATTTTAGGAGAGCTTTTCTCCCTTTTATGGTCTCAAAATATAGCAATGCGTGTAGGAAAATGTCTGTATAACTTGTTATTGTGACATGAAAATAATAAGCCTTTTTTGTGGAAGACCTTTTCTGCAGTGCTGGGGACACAGATTTCTAAAGGCCCTGACTTCTGTTTTTGTAGTCTAGGTTCTAACAGTGGGCCTTGGTTTTTGTTTTTGTAGTTTAGGTTCTAACAGTGGGCCTTGGCTTTTGTTTTTGTAGTCTAGGTTCTAACAGTGGGCTTTTGCTTTTGTAGTCCATGTTCTAACAGTGGGCCTTGGCTTCTTTTTTTGTGAGTCTGCGATCTAACAGAGGACCTTGGCTTCTGTTTTTGTGAGTCTGTGATCTAACGGAGGGCCTTGGCTTCTGGTTTTTTTGAGTCTGTGATCTAATGGAGGGCCCTGGCTTCTGTTTCTGTGAGTCTATGTTCCAACAGAGGACCTTGGCTTATGTTTCTGTGAGTCGGCGTTCTAACAGAGGGCCTTGGCCTTGTTCTGATGTTTTTGTTTTTTTGTTTTCCAGACAAAAGGGGAAGAAAGTGTTCAAATCTCTGCGCAGCTTGAAAACCGATCTTGATCTGACAGCAGAGGGCGATCTCAACATAATTATGGCTTTAGCTGAAAAGATCAAACCAGGACTTCACTCTTTTATTTTTGGGAAGCCTTTTCTCACAAGTATGCAGGAGCGTGATGTACTAATGACATTTTAACACTTACTCTCCACTGGAAAGGACCTTTGGGATTGGGCAGCATTCTGGGGATCCTAGGGCTATGAAAATATATTTTTCACTTGTTCTATGTGGTTGATGCAGTTCTGCTGGTAGTAGTAATACCTGTGATTTTTAGCATTTAAATCACAAGCTAATATGTCATCATTGTGTTTCTGTTTTGTACAGCATGTATACATTTTGTTGCAGACATCCAACACCACTGTAAAAATATCTAAACCTGTGCATGTGCAGGTTGTATTTCTTAAATGTGAACAAACTTGACTACCAAGTTAAAACTCCAAGCAGATATAAGACACACGCTAATACATCGCTGTATGCATTACACATCATTAAATGTATGTCTTTAAATGCAAGCAATTTACATACCTTCTGCAATTCCTGTACAGCAGAGCTAAGGCTGGGAGAGGTAGAAGCAGCACAGGAAGCCATTTAGGTGGGTTGGAGTGCTCATATGCCAACATGAAACAAGCCGATAAGACAGGAGAGCAGAGAGATGAGTTAAATAGTCTGCTGTTTATCCTTTTGCTGTCCAATCCCAGGGTGGGGAAGAGATAAGAACGGTAAGTGTTGCTGAACTGCCGCATCGAAAAATCAGGTATCTTCCCTGCCCAACAGGTCTGTGTTGTGTGGCACAGCTGTGTAAAACTCAAAATTGGAAGGATGTATATATAAATTGTTTGACAGGTAAAACCAATGAAGACCGTTGCTAACTTAACTGGATGTAATTCAAATTCTGCTTGATGGGCTAGTGATCATGCCAAAATAAATGGGAAAATAACAGCTGGTTATGAAGTGATTACAACCTAGATGCACTATGTATATTTTCTCAGAGTCCACCTATGTGAAGACATTTCCCAGAGGAACCCCAGAGGTCTTATTGAATATTGACTGTTACTCCTTGTCAATAGGTGGAGAGCTGGACTGCTATGTTAGAGGTGGAGGATGGGGTAGGTGTGATGGGATAATCTTTCTCAGTTCTCTTCTTTTGCAGTCTATCTCTTTGTCTTGCTGACCTCAGGTTCTCTCTAGCAGGAATATTTCCATTGACTTATTTCCAAAGGCTAAAACTGGTTGACAATAGTACCATTCTCTCCAACAGGTTGAGGTGTGAAAATGACAAAGGATATGAATGAAACTTGAACTCAAACTTTTATTTAGCTTTAGCAGCTGTTTTAGTTGAGGAGCACAGTCGGCTGATATGTATGCACTTAAAGAGGAACTTTACCCATATCTTCAAAATAACAACAAATACACCTTTAGTAATGACAATTCTGAAACTGCCATGGCTGCCGCACGCGCCCCATGTCGTCCAAATCTGCTACTGGCAAGTCACCGGACGTGACGTAACGAGTTGAAGACAAAAAAAAGTCCATGAACCCATTGCACTCCTGACCTCTATGTCCTGAACCGACTGGTTGGTGCTGCGGTGTCCCATCGTATGGCGCTGTTACATATACAAAGCATAAATGGGGCACCGGCACTCCAAATAGTGAATAGTGCGTCTTTTATTGACTAAAGTGTAGCATATCACATAAATGCAATGTTTTCGGGGTCACGCGGTATGTAAGCAATGTACAAATTCCACGTTCTGGTAAAAAAACAAGACATTATGAGGCTAGTGTTCAGACCCCTGGGGATAACTGTATCCAGGGTGTAAATCCAATATGCTTCACGTTGAAGCAAAAATCTATCCAGGTTGCAATTCAGATTTTTGTGTCAATGTGAAGCATATTGGATTTACACCCTGGATACAGTTACCCCCCCGGGGTCTGAACACTAGCCTCACAATATCATATTTTTTTACCAGATCGTTGAATTTGTACATTGCTTACATAGTGCGTGTTCCCATGCTGTACCTTTTTTATGTTTTTTGATTAATTTGTTCCCTCGGACAAGGCGTACTCGCAGCCTGGTGACGTCTTTTATGTTGTCACAGGGTTAACACTGTATTTTCACACACTTACTGCCCACATTATACATCCTGTCATGCTACGCAGAGCGCTCCATCAATTATATTCATGCTTCCCACCATGCGTTACAAAATGTTTTCTATCATGCGCCACTACACGCTGTGCATTAAGAATAATATATGCAGACTATATATGACCTCTCAGCAACTATAGTCCAAATCTTTTATCATGTCTATTGTGCCATGCATCACCATGATGGTCGGCTACATGTTCAGTGGTCACAGGTCGACACAAGAACTTGGTCAGTTACGTACATACAAGCTCGTCACATGTCTTCCATCATGCATGCTACTCCACTGCAATGTTCTGACATGGTTGCTATTACACACATGCACATGGGATTGTTTGATTTTAATGGTTGGACATGCTTTCTACTATGCACATCTTCATTGCAATTTTTATTTTCTACTTTTCATTTATGCTGGCTTGATATAACACATGCTTCATCATTCATATTATGCACTGTGATTCCTGCCCACTGCTCTCTTATCAGCTCAGATTGTGTCCCAGGCTTGGTATAACACATGCTTCATTATTCATATTATGTACAGTGATTCCTGCGACGTAATCTGAGCTGACAAGAGAGCAGTGGGCAGGAATCACAGTGCATAATATGAATAATGAAGCATGTGCTATACCAAGGCTGGGACACAATCTGAGCTGATAAGAGAGCAGTGGGGACGGAATTACTGTACATAATATAGCTGTTGGAGATAGGGCTTACCACACGAGAACAGGTAACTGCTCCCGGAAGCAGCTCCAATGCATTTTACTCTGAACCATCAACTAACAGTGATGAGCAGCTTCCCAACCTGTAAACTGGGTCCAGTCTCTTTCCAGACAGTTTCTCAATCAGTGGCAGGGTTTAGGCTGGAGTAGACTAGGACAACCTATTGTTGAAGAGCAAAACAAGTTCACCCCTGCCTTTCTTAGTTCGGTTTTACGTCTGCAGTCTCTTCCATCGGCAGCTATGATGCATCATACTACATCACCAGTGCTGAGTGGGGAATATGTGTAGATAGCATCTAATCCGTATTCAGATAAGTGATAATAATCGGCCTCCAAAAATGTGACTTTACAACCAATAAAGCTGGCAGACCGCATTAGAAACACTACAGGAACCAAGGACTAGCTGCACAGAAATAAACACATTTACAGGTATGTATTGGCTTATGTGCATTTTCTTGACAGTAGTGTATCATAAGTGACCACAATCTTCTGAAAACTTGCACGGCATGCATGTCTGCATTGCCTTAAATGGTATTGATCTTTAGATGGTGGTGAATAAAACAAATCTATATCACATATCGTTATTTCTTTATCACCCATTGAGGGACACAAGAATAGTAGATCATCTTAGACCAATGGGTTATACTACCGCCTTCAGGAGGTTGGAACACTGGCAAACAAGGCATTGGATTTTCCTATACTATATGTAGTAGACTGTCCATGTTGCTGGATCTCTCTGTGGTTATTGCCTGCCCCTCAGATGGACTGTTTTTCGACATTCCATTATTCTAAGATTATCTACTATTCATGTGTTCCTCAATAGGTGATAAAGAAAATAAGATTTTTGTACTTACCAAAACATAACAAATTTTCCATGGAGTTCATTGAGGGGCACAGGTCCCTGTGTTTGGCTTTATGCACTGATTGCTCACAAAACTGAGGTATGATGGTTGGAGGATGGCTTAATGTATTGTGTTTTCCAATGTCCCATCCTCCTAAAGGTGGTAGTATAATCCATTACTCCAAGATTATCTACTATTCCTGTGTCCCTCAATAGACTAGACAAGAAGAAAAAAAATCTCCACTAGCTGTTAACACCTCTCTCATTTATAGCATTTTTCAAAATGTCTCATATGACACTTAATGATAGCTCACTGTAACATGACTGGGACAAACTGGGATTGAAAGTTCTGTCTCTAGGTTCAGATACACATCTTGCAGCAGTACCCTTTTGCCCTTGGACACCCCCAATCACTTGATGCTTTGTATATACAGACTTTCTTAAAGGAGAACTATGGGGTAAGTGTTTTTCCACATAGTTCTCCTAAGTGTCACAGGAGGACATAAACTAGCATCCTCCCATGACCCAAAGCTAAGTATACCGCGAGCTACAGCTCGTGGTATACTGAGACCGCCGCAGCCGGGACGGATCCTGACATTACTGTCGAGATCCGCCCAGCTGCGTGAGTGACAGCTGGGTCTGACTACCTAGAGGCAGAGCCAGCTGTACCCGCCCCCTCCCCCGTCCGTTCCGCCAGTCAGTGCTGGAGAATGGGAGGGGGATCCCTGCAGGGAGCCGTGAGTGACAGTCACGGCTCTCTGCAGGGACATGATCGAGAATTGGTTTGCGCTCACTTCCCGATCTATTGAGCCGACGTGTGACAGTTTCATTGTCACAGTTAGGCTCTAACTATGAGGCTGAGTGAAAATCACTCACCTCATAGTTCTCCTTTAAGTGGACACCTGTATTTCACTGCAAGGATGCATTGTTTTTAGTTGCATAGGTTGAAAAAAGACAAGTCCATCGGGGTTAACCAATAGAGAAAAAATAAATAGAAAAGCCTCCATAAACCGAACCCTATACCCAGTTACCCACAGCTGATTTAGAGGAAGGCAAAAAAAACAAAAACCCTATAAAGCATGCTTTCGATTTTGCTTCAACAGGGCAAAAATAGTTTCCTTCCTGATCCCATAAGGCAATCGTATATTCCCTGGATGAACAGTTTTACTTATAAGAATTTAATATCTAGTAATATTTTGTGCATTTAGGAATACAACCTAAAAAAAACAGTTAACTGAGCTACCTAGAACTAGTTGCTGAGGGAGTCTATTCCACATTTTCACAGCTCTTACTGTGAGGAAGCCTTTTCATATATAAAGGTTAAACCTCTTTTCCTCCAGCCACAAAGTGCCCTTTTGTCCTTTGCAGTGACTTTAGGCCTGGTTCACACCTAGGAGTTTTTGAGCAGTAGAAAAAGCATTTCAAGACGCCCAAAACACAAAAAATCCCATGATTTTCAATGGCCCCAGTTCACACCTGAGCAGCAAAACACCCCTTACGTTGGTTGCTGCCATCGCAGTGCACCTTTACATTAAATACAAATATACACGGCTGGGGACAGCCACTGTAAGGGGGCGTTCTGATAGAGACAAGCAATGTAAGGGGGCACTCTGAGGAAGAAAAGCTATGTAAGGGATCCCCAATATCATATAATAGTTATCCCCTATCAGCGTGCCCCCTTACATTATTTGTCCCCGTCAGAGTACCCCCTTAATTTTGTATTTAATATAAGGGGGCACTC